CTGCGCGGTGAGAGCCGCGCTGCTGGGTACGGTGCTACGGGGCTGAGTTCAGCAACGGCGGGGGATCGCCGGCAGCTAGCGCCGTGACATCTCTCAGCCGTGTAGTGACAGGTTTCACACTTGTAATAAAAAGCGTGAGTGTTTCGTTTCTGCTGCTGCTGCCCAGTTTTACTAAAATGTTTAACGTTGAGGATATCTCCCACAGTCTGGAATGACGCCGTGGGTCTGCAGGCTCGTACTGAAGGGGAAATGGCAGAGGAGAATGGGTTTTTAAGGAAGCTGAGAAGTGTCTGGTGGGGTCTGTCATCAGTGATTGCTGTGGAAGCTACGAGCTGCAACAGAATAGAGAAATTGCTGATTAGGAGAGGGCTTCATTGTCTACAGCAAGCAATGGACGCTTGATGGAGATGGACAGTGGAAGATTATGGAAGGATGAAAGAAAAGAGATGTGCTCTTGGTGAACTGAAATGATTTTAAGTAGCCCGAAATTATAGAACTGTTGTGAAGTCACCATGAAAGGAACTAAGTGAACAAGAGTTTTGAATTTATCAACACGTGTTCATACGCAAGGTGCAAAAGGGTTTTAGGGGCAGAGCTCCTAAAATAAAATTATTTTTAAAACAAAACAAAAAAAAAAAAAAAACAAACCAAAACAACGCCAAACAACGTTCAAGGTGAGAAGATTTTACTGGGAGAACTTTTCTGTAGTTTTTATAGAAGTTCATTGATTTGAGGAATTTCACTGTCACCAAATGGGCTTTAAAATATAGTTGGAAAATTACATATGAAGTTTGCCCATTACTGATGTCTGAGAATAGGACTTCATTACATTGCCGTAGGCATCCTCGTCAGCTCTGTCTCCCTGTCTATGCCAGCAATAGGTAATAGGCAGGGTCTCCGCTAGTTGGTGCTTGTATATCCAGTTCTCCGGGGATGGATCCCTGTGCCCATTGTCTGGAGGTACCTCCCTGCCGTCTGCATGCAGCCGCCTCCCATCAGGGCACAATGCCTCAGGAGGACATTTGCTGGAGGTGTCCCACTGTGATCTTCCTAGGGAACAGAAACAGGACACTCCTGTGAAAGGAGAGAAGCATCTTCCCTCCCAATGGAGTGTCACGACCCACTTGGTAGGGTGCTTGATGTTCTTTAGAACTTGTTATCACACTGAACAAATACACCAATCCAGGTGTCAGGGAACTTTTATGTCATATTGTATCATCATCTTAACTCCAACAAGCCAGCTATTTAGTCTCAAAAATGTTGATTAACAAGCCCTTAACTTTTACAACTAAGTTCAACAAGCTCCCAACTCACACAACAAACTTCAAGTCTTGAAAGTGTTGGCTAACAAGCTCACAATTTAATATGCTCCCAATACTAACAACATTTCAGGTTCCTTAGTGGTCTGGATCAGGGGTAAGAGAGGAGGAAGAGACAGACCAATCCACTTTCTTTTACAGTTTATCTGGTGTTTATATAACACAGATAATCTGTGTTATATAAAACAGATTTTTGCACTCTTTTGTCCATGCATGCAATCCTAAGCCCTTTAGAGCCCCCAGGAAATGAGGTCTGTGGGGGTCCTGGAGCCCCTTGCAGTGAGGTGCCTTGCAGTGGGGGATTCAACCCCCGCCTTGATGCAGGCGCCCTGAGCATGCGTCTCAAGGCAGCAAAGAAAGCTGGCTTCATCCAGCACTGCCCCAGCTCCACAGACCCTCTTGCAGTCACAACTTTCCTGTCCCAACAGTCAGAACATGCTTACGTGCTTATGCCTGGTTCTCCATGAGAGGAGTAAAGTCAGTCTCCCAAGCTGCAGATCGATCCTTCATGGTGTGATTCATCCCATTCAAAGGAAGTGGCCTCCCTGAGCCTCATTTGTCCTTTATTTCCCTTCAAACAGGGAAACCTGGAAGATGTGGCCTTCAGAAGACTACTAAAGATGTGCTTATTTAGCACCTAATCTTAGATGCTTCACAAGAAAGACACCAAGAAGTCACAGCCATCTTTGTATCTCATCGCAGGTACTCCCGCTTCTGGTTCCTTAATGGCCTGCTGGAGAGCCACCTTCTGCCACCAGCACCCAACTGTTTCCACTATAGATGTAACTTTTAATTTTAATGCAAATAATGAATAAGTAAGTGCAAAAGATAAAATTAGGTTTTAGGGTGAACTATGCACACATGGGTAGCTCAACAAAACTGCAGAAGGCCGCTTGGAGTAATTTGTCTGAAGCTTGTAGGGATCACAATCTCAAAGTGCTGGCTATTTAGTAGCACAACAACAGAGAGGCAAATAAGGTTTTTTATGTAGTATTTCTCAATATATGTATTTCTCAATAAAAGTAATGTTAAAAAATTGAAATTAATATTCAAAATATTTAATATTTTGGGAAATAAATTGGTTTAGGCATTGCTAATTTGCCTGTGACTTTGCCATTTCAGTACTTATCTTGTAGATACATAGTGTGCAATATTTAAAAAAACAAGGACAAACATTTACACTTCTAATACAATACATAAAGCCTATGTCATCCAGGGGATGTGCTCATAAATCTCAAAAAGTCTGTCTCTTGCCATGACTCACAAAAGCAAAATAAATAATTATTCAATACGCTGCCATTGTACGTGTCAAAACATCTGGAGGAAAATTTGCCTTGATTGGAACTTGTGTGTGTGTGATGTCAAGTGACAGTTTCATGCATGTCCTGGGAACTTTTTCCTTACTTCATGTGTTCAGTGTCTGGACAAGTATCAGAAACAAAATCGTTTTTCTTCAAGGGCGTGATGCTGGAAATGTGTTAATCATACGTTTGGAAAAATAGGTCATGTAAATTCCAGTGTAATGACTGCGTCTTTATATTTTTAAGGTTGCCAAAAAAAGAGGGAGAGAGGTTTTCAGTGTGCTCTAGTCTGATAGCCTCCATTAAACTGCACTGCTAGAGGGGTGTTGCTGCTGGCACTTGATACATGAAACTATGTTGTTCTTTGCCAGTTGTACATATTACAGTATTTGACACCATGAAAATACCAGACTAATTTGGGCACTGGCAGATTTCTCACTGTCACAGTTAACACTGTAAATAGGAGGGATTTGATTTAAATAGGAAGGATTTTTTATTAGAAAATTATAATCACGTAATAGAGGCCTTTCAAATTTTCACACAACTTTTTCAAACAACAGCATAATCACCTATTATATATGCTGTTGATTTGGGTTGGAGTTTTTTTTTTCCATTCCTTTGCCTCTCCTTATGTCTGCACTTGGCTTGTTTTTACTTGGAGCGGCTTGAACATACAGCATGTAATCTGTGCTGCTTGGCTAAAGTGTTTAGTCTGGTCTTCACTGAATACTTTAGCAACAGATTTCCATTTTAGTTTCTTTAGTGCTGTCTTCTTAAAGTGAAAATACTTTAGTATGTTTTTGCTTTTGTTATAAATCACATTAAAGTAGTAATATTACCAGAGTGGAGCCATAGAACAAGGAAATGTCAGTCCCTTATAATGTTTCTGATTATCTACAGTTTACATCTACTCAGCAAATTGTAATTTCCTTTCTTCTACATTCAAAATGTCTTTATACTCCAAAAAAAAAATAGGTTTTGATTTGCAAGAACAATTTGCAGCTAAACTTTTGGCTTGAAGAGCATACTGGTGTGGCAAGAAAGACATGTTTAATTTTGCAAATTTTAAAGACTTGTTATTACTTACAGTAACATGTTAAATATACAATAAAAATACTGTAGGAAAAGACCTGAGGAATAAGTGTGCATTAAAAATTAATACCAGCTGCGGTGAATCTGAAATAAGTTATCTTTTCAGGAGCTTAAGGTACAGTTTTTATCATTATTCAGAACTTTGCTTTGGACGATTAATATATCAAAGCCCTTAACTATCATAGGTTTTTCCTTCCTTCAGAAAGGAGAGATGAAAAGAGACTTCATCTAGTTCCTGCAGAAACCATTTTCATAAAAGTTGATCCAGTCCCACAATGCTGTAATCCTCTTCCTAAGGAACCTTCCGCATTCCATTGCCAGCTTTAGGTTTCATTTACCATTGCAGAAACTAAAGAGTGTTAAAATTAAAGCTATCCTTCCCTGGTTTTTTAAAAATCTATTTGCCTTTATGCTGATTTAAGATGTTTAACTTGGCTTCTTGGAATGTCTCTGTCTCCTGTTAATATTACTTTGTCCATGATCTTAGACTTCGTGTTCCTACAAAAGATAACTCTTCCCCTTTGCCAGAATGTGATTTCCAAAGTAGAAATTTAATTCCTTAAGAAAAAAAAAAAAAAAAGAGGTAGAAGTTTTATAAAAATAAATGCGTGCAGAGTTCCTCACATACCTGTCTCTTCTTCTCCACCCATCTCTAGATTTAAGTCAAATGCGTAGTGAATGTTGGTGTTTATCTCCATTAAGAAACTCCCTATCTGGCTTCTATACTTGCAGGATATTGATCTTCTGTTCCATAAAGTAATCAATTGCAGAGTTAACTGAAAAAACAGGAAGATATCACTGCAGTAATATTAGTTATTTTACACATTCATTTTTTAATTCCAAATAGTGCAGATTTATTATATCTATATTAAAATAATGCCTCAATTCCCTCTATACAGGATTCTATTTCAGCATTATTTTAAACAGGAAAAAACAGTATTTAGAAGCAGCAGAAATCTAGATCATTAAGGCAGTTTTTGCCCCACTGAAGACAATAGCAAAAATTCTGCTGATATCAATAGAATTGCATTTTTAAGTAAACAGGTCACACCTATTCCAGTATTACCACTAATGAATACTAAAGAAGTCACTTAACAAATCAGTGCTTTGGTTCACCTATCCGTCAGTAAATTACCAAAGGAATTTATAACATTACCAGTGAAGGTTAATAATTGCAAATTTTCAAATTCTTGTTTAAACGCATGCTAAAGCAGCATATTACTAGTCTTCATTTAAAGTACCTGCACTTTAATGAGGTACTCCAGATATATTGCATAACAAAAATAAAATTTGCTCATTATGCCTGTTATGCTAAACGTCTCCAGAATATATGAACTATAAAGATGCTTTGATTTTGGGAAAGGAGGTGCAGAGAGATAATGACAATAACAGCTATTATCCAAGAATTGAAGGATTATACTGAATTGTATCTTCTCTGCAGGTATAGAGAATGAGGTCATGCTTATACAGCTGACAAAATCCTCACTGCTACAAGGACCTTCTGAATTTGGAATAAGCTCACACTACAGATTTGATTTGTGGTGAATCTGATTCCTGTATTGGATGTTCTCTGCTCTGCCGTTTTTATCAATCTGATGTGTCAAATTCAATAGATACCAAAAATCCACCTTAGTCTGTTTAAACTGCAGAAATGGAGAAGAAACAATCCTTAATATGCTACCTTGGCATATGATAAAAAGTAATAAGCTGACTTTGATTGTAACTGTCATATTTTTATTTGTTGAATACCACTTTATTTTTTTAAACTGCATTGATCCTATCCTATGGTAAATTTAATATCAGATATCTTAGTGATCTGCATATTTAAATGGCTTAAGAACAAGATTAGCAGTAAAATTGCATTTCTGTGTTATTTTTTAAAACTGATTTCATGTGTATCACTGCAGGAATTAGACTTACCAGGAAAAAAAATTAATAATCATTGATGCTTCTGCAACCTCTACCATTCCCAAAATGTTTTGTTAAAAAACCAAAACAACAAAACCATGGGAGATTCACCTAATACATCTCCATCAAACAAAATGCAACAGCTACTTAACTATGCCATGCAATAACACAGAGTAGTTAATAGGCAGTTACTATCCATCTGAAATGGTCAGCAGGGTGCTGTTATCTAAAGTGGAATTTGACCAGAATTTGAAAGTTTACTTATTGTTTTTTTACAAAACAGTTGTTTTCTGCTGATTAAGATAGAGGACACTTCCACGAACAGTATCGTTAATGGCTCCATTCATTCCTAAAGCCAGAGCTGTAAGAACAAAACTGCCCCAGGACAGGAAATCTCCAGGTTTCCAATCCACAAGGTATCTGCCTTCAGGCAGTTGTTAATAGGACAGGCACAGCTGCAGAAGAAATGTCACCGATTTTGAACTGGGCTAAAATATTCTATATTAAGACAGAACTAACATAATTCAAGAATTTGCAGTGACGCTTCAGCATTTTATGTTCTTGGGCAGCAGAGCTTCTCCTGGGATATCTTAATAAGAGCCAAATCCCTAGCATAAGTGATAGCAACTGAATCCAAATAATTCCATGTTGGACTTTGTCTTCACTAAGGAAAACTTAGTGTAGAGGCAGAAAGGAAAAGAAGCTTGTTTCATTTAGTTAGAACAATATCTCATTATATGTATTAGATGGTTAAAATAATCTTATGCTCCTACCCGTTTACCTTCATCAAGATAGCATGTAATAACTACAAACTACCTTGTTCATATTAGGATTTTATCACTTTAAGGTACTCTGTATCTCCTAAACTAAATATTTTCCTTAGAGCAAACAAGATGCATTTCCTCAAATATATTAATTCCCAAGTTTACTTAATGTACACATCAACCTGAGATGCAGAAATAAACACTTGGAAACAAACAATTTAAAATGTCAATTTGAAAGAAAAGGAAAAAAAAACCCCGTTATTATTTTCTTTCAACTATGTAATACTATAAGTAAAATTTAGTTGATGTATTTTTGTATTTTATGGGTTTTGTGATATCAAGTTATTAGTCCATTTCACATTACTAAATTTTGGGGAAAAAGAATTAAAACTCTTCTAAATAAAAACTAGTACTTTCATTGTACTGGAAATTTTGAGGTGTCTTGTTTGCTCTGATTCAGAAATTTTAAATGTTAACATATTGGACCTTGTTGCAGGATAGAATTTCTAAGTAGATCTAATATTCAGTACAAGCCTGAATCTTTGGCAAGTTCCAATCATTTATTAATGTTACTCTAATGAAAAAATGCTTTTACCTGTCAAGACAGACTGTATTCCATTGCCCATGCAATTCATTTACCATAAGTTAATTGCTTGCCAATCACATGTGATTTAAGGACCTGTTTTCTTCACAGTGACTGACCTTCAATTAATGTAAAATTAAAACAATATAAAAATGTATTTTATTTCTTTCCCAAAATAGCTTCATAGAGGCCTTATTCTCAAGTACAGATATGTACAATACATATCCTATTGAGACATGAATATTTTACAAAATTTTCTGATACCACAACCCAATGGCTTCAAAATTCTACAATATATAAATATCTTGCAGGTATCCTGCTTAATGTCAGTTTACCTCACCATTTGTTACACAAAAGCTGCTAGTTACAGCAATCCTTGTGCTTGACATCTGTTACAAACATCTGTGGATTACTCCAACTGCTTGTAAAAATGAATTAGGGAACTTGTTATGGTCTAAAACCACTAGCACTTATTTATTAATTAGATTTCAGTAACTAGTTTCTGAACTTGAATAACTTGTATGCCAGATGTCTTATGCTGAAACAAGAAGCCAAGGAGATGGGGGAAGGGAGCAGCAAGTCAGTGATGTGCATTTAAAAACAGCTGTGTAGACTACCATTTTTAAAGAAAATTCTTTGTTTATTATGTGCCTCTTTGTAACTGTCACATGATAGAATCTAATTATTTAGCTAGGAAATGAACAGATAGCTGTTTGGGTGCTGCTGAATGGGGAAGGCCTTCTTTTGCTTTCCTGTAAATTCTGACCCCATTGGATTTTTTTTTAGTCCCTTTAAAATCCACCTATCACTTCTATTTTTTAACATTTCATACCCTCTCTCACTGGAAACGGGGCCACATTCTTTCCCAGTGAATAGCACCAGCAACAAAAGAAACTCAAATTTAGAAAGCCACAGGCCATCTTACAGTTTCAGCAACATAAAAGGACAGTTGCTCCTTCTAACAGGACAGTCTACAGTTTCCTGTTTATTTAAGGACTAGGCAAAAATTAGTTAGCTTGTACCTGTCAAAATCATGACAATTCCAAGTTGAAAGAATGAGGGAATCATATCTTAAGACAAGCTCCACTCCACCCTGCTCTAGCTTATGACATTCAGATTGGTATCTGCAACCTGATACACACAATTCAGGATGGAGCAGAAGTGGTGTCATTTGGATCTGGGCCCATCTGTAATAGATAACTTATTAAAAACCCAGGCAAACAAACAAACCAACCCCAAACAAAAACAGTTGATACAACCGGCATGAAAACATGGTTAAGCTTTTTTCAAATAGATGATCAAACACCGAACTCTTTCAACTGCCTTATTCCTCTGATTACATTCCCCAAGATCTGGAAGAATGAACCAGCGAACGTAAAAGAACATTGAAAGAGGAGTAGTTTGTATTTTCTATGTAGTTCTTCAATTTCTGAGTTGGGCATTTCTTCTTCTGTACAGTGGTGATGGTTAGGAGACAAAAATGTGTACCTTAAAACTTCAATGAGAGTTTTTATTATGAACTTGCATATTTTCTATGTACAAAAAATAAATTAAATATACTACACGGTAGAAGAGTAGAAAAGGGGTACTCTATATTACACATTCAGCAGAACAAATTGCCAATTTCCCCTCATCAATTGTGCTGGGTTTGGGTGGGGTAGAGTTAATTTTTTCTACAGTGGCTGGTATGGGGCTGTGTCTTGGATTTGTGCTGAAAGCAGGGTTGATAATACAACAGGTTGATAATACAACTGATTTTGTTACTGCTGAGCAGCCCTTACACAGTGTCAAGATACCTTCTGTGAGGAGGCTGGAGGTGCACAAGGTGTTGGGAAAGGACACAGGGGGAGCAGCTGACCCCAGCTGGCCGAAAGGATTTTCCAGACCATACAGTGACATCCTCAGTATTTAAAGCAGGAGGAAGAACAAGAAAGGGGGGCACATTTTGAGTGATGGTGTTTGTACTTCCCAAATACACGTGGTGAAGCCTTGATTTCCTAGGGATGGCTGAACACCTGTGTGCCCATGGGAAGCATTAAATGGATTCCTTTTCTTTGCTCGTGTATGAGGCTTTTGCTTTACCTAGTAAACTGTCTTTATCCCAGCCCATGAGTTTTCTCACTTTTACCCATCCAATTCTCTTTCCCATTAGCTGTGAGAGAATGATTGAGCAGCTGCCTGGGACTTGTTGCTGGCTGGGGTTAAACCACAACATCCATTACATGTTAGTAATTATTTTCCTCAGCAGCATTATGCAGTTTGTGACTCTGACAACTCTTAAAGATGCATGTTTTTGGACTTTCCTAGTTATTTCTGATTATACATGTACTTTTCAAATTCAGCAGTTATAAAAGGCACATACAAGTAAATGTATCTAAATTATGTTTAAACCCATTAATGGGATGAAATAGAAAGCAAATATTTCCATAATTGAAGCTTGTTTCATCTATTTTTCAAAACTTTACACTGTAAGGTTTACTGCTTTAGTGACTGCAGCCACTATCACAAATATGTTCTTCCCAGGTCTCAGCAAGAAGACAAACCATGCAGCATCAGAACAGCAAGCAGGACATTTGCATATAGAAATAAAAGCTCCCAATATATTTTGATGTAGCTCTCTAGATGACCTGAAATTCCCCTTCACGTGTAAACAGGGGGCAAAAGAAATCCACAACAATCTTCATTTTAACTTTGAAATTTAATGGTATCCTCTGATTTTTAAAATCTTCTCACAAGTTTGTTCAGCTAGTTTCCAAAGAGATTATTATAGTGGCTGTTAAATATGGAGACCCAAAATCAAAATTGAAAGGAACCTTTATATTAAATAAATAGAACTGTACGTGTGACTTGTTTTAAGATATATAACAGAACATTTAATTATATTGTTCTTAGAATTTGGCTTCTCCAGTTCATCTTGAATTTGGCAAAATTGTACTTACAGATAAATAATGATATTTAAAAGATACTTACAATTCACTCAGTGCTACTTATTTCAGCTTCTATGTCTGCATTTTTTGTTTGCTCACATGAAACTCCTGCTGCCCAGCCAGCTGCAGATTTTCTACTACATGTGTTCATCTTTGCTCATTCCATTTCTCCTGTTCATTCACACCTTTTCCTGAGTTCCCATTTCCTGCACGCAGCAGCAGGTCAATGGACAATTCTCTTAGAAAGGAACAGAGAGACAAACACCAAAATAAGGCATTGGTAAGACAGAAAAAATATTACTGCAAGTTTGCTTAAATTTGGGAAAATATAGAGGTTTTGGGGTTTTTTTTGCTCATAGATTTTGTCAGCATTTGTGCACTTCTTTTAGTGTTATTTTGTACCTGCTATATGAAGGAGCTTCCTTTAGGGGATTTAAGGATCTATTTCTTTCCTCCCTTAGGAGTAACATTATTCTGTTCTTGCTATATTCAGAATCTGATAGACTTGTCAACATGTTTTTTCATTTAAATCAAAAAATTCATGCCTAACAGTGCATTCAGGCAGCTGAATGATACTGAAAATGGATGAAAAATATGGTTCACTCCAGTTTTCTTCTGAATTAGAGGTGGCTGCTGAGCAGATCTTGAAGGTTTAAAAATTGATTAAACATAGGTCAATGGCATTTCATAAACAAAACCTAACTACATCTAAAATAGTGACTTAAATGTTCACATGGTGGCTAAAAGTCTTTTTCTGGCTTATTAAAGGATTTTGATAAAGGAAGTTTAAAATTTTAGCAAGTGCTTCCCTGAAAATAGAAATGATTAGGTATAAGTATGCAGTGTCTGGAAGATAAAAAGCACAGTACAGAGATATACTTAAGAAAGCAAGTGTTTATGTGCTTGATACAGTGTAGTTATAGTATATTACACAGAGTACACATGAGCTGCCTTTCCAAATTCAGATAGCCTATAAATAGTGGTATTAGATGCTGGTGAAATCCTAGGTGGATACATACCAGTCTACTTTACAAACAGCAATCCCTCTGCTGGCATTAGTATCACCTTCATTGATCACTGCATCATCATGGACTTTTTTATATTGCATCATCAAGAATTTTTGGCTAAAAACCTCTATGTGGTTAACACTAAACATTTTACTAAGCATTTTTGTTAAGACTATACTTTTCTCATTTCTCTATTTACTCGTCCTTTGTCTAGGTTACTTCTGGCTTTGTCTACTCAATACTTGAAATTCTGTGCTCACTTCAGACACCAATTCAATGTCTGCTTTGTCAAGCACCCACACAAGTACTGGCTCAACCAACCTTATTTGGCATCTCTGCTGCCACATGTCCTAAATTCAGGAAAATCTTCTTCCACTGATAGTCAGTATTCCCTGCTGCTGGATCCCTATGTTGTCAGTGTGCTGCCACTCTCATGCTGGCTGATGATCTGGATGCAAACATCCAGTGCATTAACTGAAGTAGAATTGTAAGGATGAAGTGACTGAAGCAGCACAAACCAAAGAAGTAATTCTATTTCATAAATTCAAATGCCAATTGTTCTGTATGAGGGTTTGAAATTCCAGGTTTCATATTCAGGTTCCAAAATGGCATAGTGGTGTAATGTTTTAATGATTATCCCCTTGAGCCATTCATGGAACACATTGACTGGATCATCATTAGTTGCTCCCCTAGTGCATAAACCTATATGATCAATATATTTCCTGACTTTGTTCAAAGGCAAACTGTAATGATTCTATTGCTCACACAGTCATACACACACACTTTGATGCTTCCCTGTGTTTGACAAATGCAACCCTTTTTTAAGCCTCTGAATACACCACATAACCTATCCATCAATGTGAAATGACCCCGTCATTAGAGCACAGCTCTGAGGCTGCACATCCATTCATCAAATGTCTTTCTTTGACCATAATGGTAAATTCCAAGTTCATATTAATTTGTAAAATTTCATATCATTCTTTTCTTTACTGCAAGCAGCAGACATTATCTGTTGGAAGAATTAGCAACAGCAGCATCATGAAAACAATCAATACTTTTCACAAAAGAGCCTCTTAATCAGAACTTGTTAGTACCACACATGTTCTCATTTTTTAATAGATCATAGGACAGTTCTTATTTAATGGGGCAGCCGGAGAAACTCATTGTTTTACCTCCAGAAAACAGCTGCCATGGGCTAAATATACTGCCAAACTTTCCCAATTTTCCCAGTAGCATTTCCTCTAAGCACTCAGAATTTCCCCAAATCTGCCTTGTTATTTGAAAAATTACGAAGTGAATATTAAGAACCATGTGCTACTATTAAAATGAAGGTAACTGCAAATTTCCTTGTAGCCTGGCTGAGACAAAAAAAAAAAAAAAAACCTTAGAAAGACTTCACAGAATGGAAAAGTTGAGTTTGAAATGGACTTCTTTTTAATGACCTTCAGCTGATGACACAGCACTGTCACAACCACATCTGCTGTCCACCAAGTATTAGAAAGACAATAAAAGGCTAATGAAAAACAGAGGGTATTCTTGAGTATGCCATAAATAAAATAACCTTACTTAATAAAAATAGTGTATTAGCTGGCTTCATTATTAGTGGTCTAGCTATAAAGATTGTTCATAAATTCAGTTTATCTGGGATCAAATTTACCCAATCAGAACCTGTCCAATAGAAACTAGAAAATTTTGAAGAATAGTTGATCCATTCTTGGCTTTGCTTATAAAAGCCTGGAAAAAAAAATCACCATGGAAGTAGAAACATTTGACTGGTGAAATGTCTAATTTTTTGCCGTAGCAACTTATCAATGTGACTTCTGAGAAATTATTGACTGTGACAAAGAAAATTGAAGCTTTTGCGATATGGTGCAAGCAAAGACATCTTCTGGACAGAAAGGATGATAAATGCACATATTAAATATATTATTGGAGAAAAGTAGACTTGGTTGTCAGAAATGAATAGGTGTAAATGTATGTGCTTTGGACACATCAGGAGCAGAGATGGAAATAACCTTGAGAATGTAATTATGGAGTGAATGGTGACAAGTCATCATAATTGAGAGCAGCTAGAAAGGAGGTGGATAGATGACATGCAGTAGGCTGCTGTAACTTCAGTTTCTGAATGTTCAAAACTAGCAGTAGATCATGGAGGCTTCTAAAAATTCTCCTGTGAAATCACCAATCTGCAGCTGCCAATAAATTGATTTTACTTTACTTGCAAGCAAATGAAAGAAGCACAGTCATTCTGTCAATAGAGTGGTTTGTAAATTAAAAATGTATTCATAAATATATACTTTTTCACAATGGCTTAAATGTTATGTACAGTGACAATCCTTGCCATTTCTGAATGAATATATAGTCTTGAGATATATATATATCATGTATGATATTTATGTGTGTGTGTGTGTGTGTGTGTGTGTGTGTGTGCATTTATATGCTGGGGAACAAACGAATCAAGAGCAGCCCTGTGCAAAAACCGTTTGGTGATGCTGTGGGTGAGAGGCTGGACATGACCCAGCCATGGGCACTCCCAGCCCAGAGAGCCAAAGGTGCCCTGGGCTGCATCCAGAGCCCCGTGGGCAGCAGGGGAGGGAGGGGATTCTGCCCCTCTGCTCTGCTCTGCTCTGGTGAGACCCCACCTGCAGGGCTCAAGCCAGCTCTGGGGGCACAGCACAGGAAGAACTTGGATCTCTTGGAACTGGTCCAGAGAAAGGCCATGATGATGATCAGAGGGCTGGAGCATCTTTCCTGTGAGGAAAGGCTGAGATCTGGGATTATTCAGCCTGAAAGAAGACTCCAGGGTAACCTTGTAACAGCCTTCCAGTACCTAAAGGGGACTTAAAAGAATGATGGTGACAGACTTTTTAGCAGAACCTGTTGTGATAAGACAAGGGGTGATGGTTTTAAACCAAGAGAGTGTAGATTTAGTCTAGATATAGGGAAAATATTTTTTACCAGGAGGGTGCTGAAACACTGGAACAGGTTGCTCAGAAAGGTTATGAATGTCTCGTCCATGGTAACATTCAAGGTCACTCTGGACAGGGCTTGGAGCAACCTGATCTAGTTGGAGATGTCCCTTCTTACTGCAGGAGGGCTGGACTGACTAGATGACCTTTAAAGTCCCTTTCTAACCTAGCTATTCTATAATTCTATGATAACTGCCCTATTTCCAAGCATGATTCATAGTAAAGACATTTTTAGGCAGCACATGGAGAAGCCTTCCTTACCAAAACCAGAGCAAAAATAACATTTAGACAAATCATGGCCAGGGATCAGTTTTAAAAGAGTTTATCATCCATACAGTATTTGGTCCTTCCCTTTATTCAGAACTGGTACTACTCAATGAAGACACAGTGAGCTGTGGGACTCTTCCACAGGAGCACTTTGTGTCTCCATTTGATTTGTCTTTATAATATCATACACATAAGTCCTCCTGCCCCCTTTTATAGATTTTTATCTTGTGAATGTAGAAAATGGGAGATACACAAGTCCCTGGTTTTCTAACAAAGCTCACTTTCTGAGCTATTCTAAGAGTAATTTCACTGTAAATACCCCCTGGAATGGAACACCTTTTGGAGCTTTTTCATTACAGCAATGCACATTGTCAAGAAACTCACCTCTGACCCACCTCAATTTACAGCAGATGTAAAATATATCAATAATAAAAATAGGTAGTTATAACAATTAGGTGGTGTTTTCAAAGATATGTTATACTGCAATGACAGATATTATTTATTGCAGTTCACAACACAGTGTCATGTCTTAATGTCACTGTTTACTTCATAGTCATTGTTACTGTCCGTGTTTACTGCATTAATAAAGACCTGAGGAGAACCACTAAGCAGTTCCTGGAAACATGTGAGCATAGCTTAATTTAATCAACATGAATTTAAGCATTTTCTGTGCTTGAAGTAATCACCCTGTACTCTCTTCTGTTTCACCCAAAAAGTGTTTTGTTCTGAAAACCCTTTTTGGTGCATCATTTTCCCTACCAGTAAAAACACATTTTTCCTTTCTTGATCCTTTCCTTGAACCTGTCCTATCACAATACAAAGAAAGAAGCAACTCACAAGGTTGCCCCACAGGTGTTTGGCACCCTTTATTTCAGTTTGTTTATGAATAACACTTGCAAACATAGTCTAAAATACAATCAAAACAAACAAGAGCAGATCGGAGCAAATACATTCCAATAAAAGTAAAGTGAGTGAAGGTAATAAAATTCTGATGCAAACAGTAAAATCTGGGTAAAGATTAAAGGACTCAGTGATATTATTACACAGAGCCATTCAGTAAAACCCAAGGGATCATGTGAACCTGGCTACAGCTGTACAAGCACAGTCCAAGTCAGATCTCAGCTGCTTGCTGAAATTAGAAGGGTGAAGGTCAAACAAGCAAAAGCAACAAACCAGACACTAGCAGCTGTAATTGTATCTGATAAGAGCAGATTTCAGGACTATTCAGATTAAGGAGTACCACAGGTCAGATTATCTGAAGCTTTTATGCTTTTACATTCTGAAAATGCCATGCATATATTCAAGCTAATTGGCAGTTAGGTGTTCATTCATACGTCCCTTAATTGGGTGTGATACCAGAACTACATGCTCTGTTTCAGCACTTTAGAATTTCAAACGGTGCAGAAGTACAAATCCCACTGCTTCTCTTCTGAGAAAAGATAGAACCATTGCCTAATCAGCCCATGATTACAGAATTTGCACCTACTCCTCTCAGCCACTTTGCTGATATGATTTGTCCAAGACTCACTCAAAACACTACATATCTGGCTAACATACTGCTGACTAATCACTCATTATCTGTGAAAGCAGGAATCTTGTGTGAACTCCTTGATAATCAGCCTTACACTGATGCCTTTCAAGACTTTCTGTGTTATTCTAACTTCACTATTTATCTGAAATCTGCAAGAAGACAGAGAGGTCTTGATCCACAACTGAGAGTACTTCAGTGTGGAGATTCACAAAGAACTTGCATAAATTGAAACAGAATTTTAATTGAACGAGCAAACCTTGCTTGGCACACTCAAGTCAAATCTTTGAATTGCCTTGTCTAACTACATGCTACATTCTGTGGAGGGATAGAATGTAAGAAAATAT